AATAATTATACAAAGAAAAGTATTTAGTTATTTTCAGAAATGTCAGATTCAAAGAAGTACTAACTGAAGTTAGTCATAGAATGTTTTCACATTTCACTGTCAATATGAAAATTATTCTAAAGGTATTATTTAAAAAATATAAGATATAAATTAAGATGTTTATTTTGAAATTGCTAATTAAATATATTTATACATTATTATTAAAAGAATTTGTTGTTCATAAAATTATATCTTAAGACTTTTCGTTTAGATTAGAATAGTTTTTCACTTTGTTTCTTTTATTGTTACATTAATGTAGGATGGACATATAATATTTTGAAAATGTTGGTCTTTGAAGAAACCAACTTTGCTGTGTTAGTCCATATCGCTAGAGCAGTGATTGCTCTAACATTATTTTTTCAAAACCTGTAGGTGAAGGATGAACAAAGTTATCCACAATTAAATCTAAAATGGCCCCATCATCCACTATAAAAAAATGACCCATATATATTAAAATGTCACCAAACTAAAAGTTGTTTAATTTGTTCAATGTATTACCATAAAGTACTGGATATACAGATCCTTTTATTCCTATTACTGGAGCTTCCATAGATTTCCCATTTACATAGAAATTAAGTTCTATATGGTCATAAGATACACCCTAATGATTAAAGTATCATTAATATATAAATTTATATTCATTATAACTTTGTACTTACTATAATGTCTCCTTCTTGAACTAGAGTCTGAATTTTATGTATTTCTTGTTGATTATGCCTTATAATACCATCAGAATTAAGGGCCCAACTTTCCGTGTCATTTCCTCCAGTGGCAGTATTTAGATCCGTAGATTTTGTGGCTAATCCAACTGCCCATATACCACTTTGTTGTATTTTAACTTCAAAATAACTTTTACTTTGAACAAGAGGAGCATTCGTTAAGGCACCACCACAACCACACACTCTTAGACCATCCTTTACTATTACAACTTCATGTCCTGCACCAAGTTATTACCATTTTTATTTACACAGCATTAGATATAAAAAACGTTGTCTTTTTCTTAGTGATATTTAGTGATACTACTTTAAAGTCAAGAAGGTAGAAGTAATGTACTATTATCTGCAATATTCAACAGTCAGGGACAAAAATAGAAATTTTATGCAAATTTATTGATATGGATGCAATTAACATTTAAAAACATTGTTAATTGCTACCTCAATTATTGTGCATTAAAATTACCCATGTAAGATGTGTCTAAAGCTATAGGATTTGAGTGATCCTTTGGTATTTGGGCTTCGGCAAAACCAAGGCCGTCAAAACAATTTCTCAGACAGCAAAACATCATTCTCGTTCGGTCTTCTTTCCAGTTTGTTCAGATTGGCTGACACGGCATTATGTCACCCGTAGGAGAAAAAATCGTTTTTTCTCCTGTGAAAAAAAGTCACAAATGCTTCACTTTGCTTTTTCCTTTTATCGTAGGAAACCTTAGTCACTATGCAACTCCTAGGTATGATAACAACTTGATGCTGCGTATATTTCAACGCAGATACAAATTTTAATGTGTGCGTAACACTGTGCATGTGTGTTGGAAAATGGCTTCCTCTCAAATCTGTAGAATCAATATTAAAAATTTGTTTACTTTATCTATTTATAATTTAGTTTTTACCGAATTTGATATTGAAGTTATACCTTTTAATATCAGACGTATCTATACGATACAGAAATGCAATGTTTAGCACAACAAAATGAATGAGTTTAAGGTTATGTTTCATTGAGCAAGGTTGAGGATATACATCTGTAAATACAGGCATGGAACATTACACATAATTTATACACATACTAGATATCAATACAAAATATTGATCATAAAATATTAATGGGGTTTAAGAAATAAATGTCTCATTTAGTACCAAAATGGTATTTATTTGTTTATTTTATACAAGAAATATTTATATCCGACTGGGATACAGCATCTATAACAGAAAAGAAGCACAGACGAGTTAACATATTTACACTTTGTTTATAGAAATTATATCTAATATTTAATAAACGGCTTACAATCCTGATACGATGACCCATAGCTTTAGCTGGTAGATTTCTCTTAAACTTTGCACGTACTGACCCACTAGTACCATGGGGTCGAGTTACTTTACCCCAAATAGCTCTAACTTTTGTTTTCCTGCCTTTCTTGCCAGGAACAGGTGTCTTATTTTTTGCCTATAATAAGAAACAATGATGGAGACACATATGAGTATTATAATATCCATGTGAGGGACTACTGGTGTTATAAAATATTATAGAAAGAAATAAAATGAAGTAGTTATATTATAAGAAACTTGAGGAATTACCTTATATACATAAACACATCGTTTTCCTACATAAAAGTCTGAGTCGCGTATGGTTTTCGCTCCATCAACCTTAAGTAATGCTGTGTGTTCATGTTGATTACGTAGTCCGCGTTTGTAGCCTGTGAAAATGGCTTTAGCATACAGACGTCCGTGCCTTTTGAATGGCCTTTTCTTTAGTGGAGGAGGTTCCACTGGCTTCTCCTTTGGCTTTTTGGTTGCTTTCGTCTTAGATTTTGGTTCAGCAGGTGTGTCTGCCATTTCTACAAAAAATATAAATCACATTCATAATAATAAATTTTTCCACGTATATATTCTGTAAAGCACGCTACAAGTAGATTAATTCTGAAGTACTATACTAAAGTTATTCAACTAATATAAGTGTTGCTACAGTTCTTTGGTTATGTCAAAGTGGCGTTCGAATTTTAATAAAAAACAAAATAAGGTTCCACTTTGACATCAGAAAGAGATTACCATAACATAGAAGTTTTGTTAATTCACTTAAAATGTGTATCGATACTGTATTAAAATATTATGATAGAATACACGTTTTTGTTATTATACGCTCGCGAACACCGTGTGAAACATAGGTTCCCGTAATCCATTTGGATCAATGAAAAAAATTGGAACTTCGATGATAAAAATAATTACACGATATCACGAAATAATGATTAATAACCTGGGACTATTATTATTCTACCGGTTTAATTAATTTAACATATTTTAAGTAATAAATACGGGAGTTTGACACCGCAACACGTACCGGATGTGTATCGCGAACTAAAAGAAACAGGAAACCTAGCCCTCTCACGGTAGCAACATCAAACATCCATATGATTAAACAGCGAATGATATTGTCGATTGTGAACTGTTGTTTCAGAAAAATGTTACAGCCATCCGCTACAGATAGCGCATATTGTGCCAATTATAAAATTATCATTACGTGTACTTGAAAATAATAATACTTAATGCGAACAGTTTACTACAAATATTTAAGTAACTGTAAATTAGTGGTATGTTTATTAGAAAATGCGAGTTACTTGAATGTTGATTCGAAAAAAAAATAGATGGCAATATTATTTATGATTAAATCCACTAATTTCATACATTATATTATTCAATTTTATTATTAATTAATTCACTCGAAGATAAAAAATATTGTTGATAGTTCTAAATATCGAGGCGTAAAATATCTTCGATAAATATAGAAATCTGCTTTATCGTGTCACTGAGAAAACACTCCGTCTGGAGGAGGGAAATGGTCACGTCGTCGGTGGTAATACCTCCGGTGAATATACTCTGGGATAATACCTTTTGTCGGTGATCATTTAACACTATTCATACCGCGACTAGTCAAATAACTGTTTTTAAAATTTCGATTAGAATTTCCTATAGACAACGTAATTGAATCGTCTTTATGCTTCACGACTTTTCCTAAAATATATGTATAAAACATTCTTCAATATTCTTCCTCTATCTTTTTTTATTGTTTATTTTCTGAGAAAAATTTGTAGTTTGTCTTACCTACCACGACCGGTCATTTGACCGGTGGAACGATTTATACCTTTTTGTAATAGTATTCTCTCAAAGACTCAATTCCGATACTATAAAGTAGTTACAAACGAAAGGTAATTCAGTTGTGGCATGATTTTAGCCAAAAAGTGCTTTTCAGAGACTGCTTTACGGTATTTTCAAGTGTTTACAGTTCTCGCTGTATATATATAATATTATTTAATTCGGATTATTTAACTGATTATAATAAAATAAGAGTGTTAATTGGATTAAATGTTGATTTATCGATATTGCAAATATATATTTCAAATAAAAATTGCTTGTTTTCTAAAAGGAAAAACATCATTGTAATCGATTTTTTAAATGGTACATCTAATGATATCATTCTCAGTATTAAATTTGACATAAAAAACTATTAAACAAAGTACGATCTACAATGGATGTTTACTGGAAGTATTTTTATTCGTTATAGTTTCAGTAAACTTGATTAGTTTTTAAAAACATTTCACATATCTAATACTTTCAAAATATTAATAATCGACAGATAATAAAATTTATACCGACCATCTTGACTGATTCGATAGTTTCAGTGTTAATCATTGTAATAATATTACTGGTATATGTGTATTCACATATTAAACAGCAAATTATTTAAAACGGAATGATCGTGAAAAGCTTTCTCATAACTATGATGAAAATTTATAAAACAATTAAACATTATATATACATATAAGAAGTGACCGGGATCCAGGTCTATACAGCGCGTAGTCACGGCCCTGCATAGCTGTGGCCGGCGAGCGATGGCCGTGTGGCGCGAAAGTTCTGTTCGCGGACATTTTCTTACCCTGTCCTAAAGAAAAACCGATGTCACGCTTCCCACGGGGAGGTTCCTCTTCAGAAATGTCTGCAGAATCCAATGGTGCACAGCAAATTCGTGCTGGCTAACCCACTTTTCGTAGAAATGTAACAGAAGTGCATACAAAGTACGCGCATCTACCTTTTTTTAAACTTTGATCACCGTTTACAAACATTTAATGATACGCAAAATTCAAAATTTTTATAGCTTTGTGATCGGGCAAGTCTCCTTTATTTTTTGCGACAAATTTTAACTGCCTATCGTTTTTAGTTTTCACGTAACACTTGGTTTTCTGAAAAATTCGATCGTTTTTACAAAATCCCAGTTTTTTCGAAAACTGGACCTGACCCAGCAATTTGGTTTTCGGATTCGTATTTAGGGTAAGGGACTCTATAAGAATTACATAGTGGCTATTGCAAAAACTAACATAGGTCAAAATTTGTTCCACAATGTAATAAATAGTTACGTATAATATTTCGTTAATCTTATGTGGTAAGCGGGATATTAAAACGCTGTGTGGAGAGTCATCGGATTTACGATTGTCTAACATTTATTGCCCAAGTATACGGTAAAGTACATTGTATTTACAGTGGAGGAGGACGTTGTGTGGTCACAAATGCAAAAACTAATACAACATCGTCTTACAGCTTAACGTATTTACATGTCCCTGAGGCTTAGTCTATAGTCATCATACACTCGTCGTTATTGTTTCATTGTACTGTACATTTTTATCCTACGTGTCGCAAGCGATCATCTATGCCACACAGATTCGAGTATCACTCTTATGTGCATGTATGTATATACATGATGCACCGGTTAGCCGTCGCGGGCACACCTAAGCAATACTAAAGAGGACCATCCTGCTCGTTCAGACAACGCGAAGACCTGATGTTACCGGTCACAGAGAATGGTTTCTCGTTTCTATAGGAAGTTCTTGGTACAGCCACGTGGTCGGATTCACCATACTTGCATTCAACGCTAACATGAAAGTACAACTCGCACGTAACATGAAATTAGACTCGATGGGAGATGGGCAGGTGATACCGTGTTCCTTCTTCTTTTGCGAGGACATCCTCCTCTCTTGGGACTACACTCCATTCCGTACACTGTACAAACGGACTACAGGCTCGGTACACTATACTTTTACACGTCTACCTTGTTCCGAACGGTTATTCGGTGGACCAGGAAATACAGTCGAATCTCAATAATTCGAACTCCTACAATTCGAAAATCTTTGTAATTCGTACAATTTCGATTTCCCCTTCCGCTTCGTCGTGAACAGTGGAATTCGAAGTACATGTATAAAAACTCTGTAACTCTATATTATCGAATCACGGGATGAGTCGGATCGAAAAGGAAATCCAATTTACATTTGTTACATTGTACATATTTTTGTACTTTTTTCTTTCTTACTTACAGAAGAAAAATTAAAGTCTCTTTCATTTTGTGTTGTTCAATGTTCAAGTATTCTAACTTCTTGACTGTCAAACAGAAAATGATCCGATTCGCCTTGCTTTGCCGTACGTAGTTAACATCTACAGATCGAAATTCACGTTTACATGTAGGTTAAAATTTGGTATGGAAGGCTCTGTATGTCGAATTTTCGTTTGTTAAACTCCTTTCACTCGAATGCCCGACGAGACGAAACCTCTGTTATTCAAAGATCTTATGTCATCCCTTGCAATTCGACTTATAGAGGTCCAACTGTACAATAAATCGTAGAGAAATTTATTGAACCCTTTCAATTTTGTGAAATCGAATTATTATTCGAAACAAAAAATCTGAGAATCGGAATACGATAATGACAACTGTGGATGTTTATGCAATTACATATTTTTAGAGTAAACGAAAAATTGCTATATCATGTATCGTCGAATAACTGAAGTTAATAAAACAATATGATGTACAATAACAATTACATTCGTAATATTAACGATTTGTACAACTTTTGTATTTCCGGTATACTGTATCGCATATATTCTTCGTGAATTTTCCTTTTATGGCAAACGGTTAAATTAGAGCTTAATAAGAAATTGGAGCAAACGAAACGAGAAGAGAATTGTAATCAAGGTACATACTTTTATTTTTGACAGGTCAATTGTTAATTTGCAGAGAATTTGAGGAGTCGCTGGCACAGAGTATCGAGTGCCGAGTATTCTATTGGACAAAGACGGTTAAGACTCCTATTTATTTATGTCCTCGCCAAATTTATACTTTCAGCATTGATCGGCAATCGATTATACGCGGTGACATTCCGCACTCGAGGTACATTAAAATATTACCCGGATCGTCGTTGTATACACTGCTATACATTAATTCGTCTTTACTATCTCGGTTATTGCATTATTATCTAAGGATGGAGGGTTCGTCAATACTACCGCGAAATCTTTTGAAAGGAACGAGATCACAGATCCATTAGCAAAATCATTCTTCGCATTTGTCGGGACAGCCTGTCACGACGGCATCACACAGAACGGATAAAATAATTCTGCGGCAAATGAATTCATGGAAAATCGGAATCTTCGTTTACCCTGAGGATGAATAAATATTCTATGCAGGAGGAAACTTATTCGATAGAACAATGGTCGCGTCCTGTTTGTCGCAAAGTTTCGCGTAAGCTATATTAAAGTAATTAGACTAATGTTTGCTAATTATATTACCAAACGGAAATTTCCATAATAATTAATTACGTGACACGACGGGTGATTAGAGAATGATTTCATTGATGAACAATTATTATCAGAACTATAATTCACTGTGAAAGTACTACACGGTACCTCATCGTTTGGCATGGGCATGTAATTAATTAATTCTAGGTTTGAATCCTTGCTTAACTAATGGACGAGTCACGTGAATCTAGGTTCATTAAATTATCGATTTGTAAACATTTTCGTGGAAGTTCGTTTGAAACAAGTCGCGACCATATTTACAACAAACGGGTGCGGATTTGTACCTATACAATATTTACATGTCGCTTAAGAGTTCGTCTCGCTTTTCATGAAGTAGAATATCATGTCACGTGTCAGCCATCTATTTTCGAACTATTGCATATTTTATGTATGCATATTTGCATGTAGGTAACCGAAATTTTTAGGTTTTTCAGGCAGACGAGATGGGTATTCTGAATTGCTCCAGTCTTCACACGCTGATAACAAGTGTTCTAATTAATTAAGCTTCTTATCCGTTAGTAATTGTTATACAAAAAGCTCGAAACACGGCAGACTTTTTTAACAATTGCACGGATATGATATTGTTCGTCGAATAATAGTGATCACATTGGAGTACGAATGATCTCTTCAGGATGTTCGCTCTGACAATCGAACATTTAAAAAATAGATCTAGTAAACTATAATGCGATTAACGCGCATATATGTTGGAAAGTAAGAAAGCACATTATATCACGCATGCGTCTGTTTATATTATACACCGGGAAAAAAGTATTTAATAAATTATAATGGATATTAATATTTCGAAAAAAATGAAACGATTCACGGCAGAATATCTTCTGCAAAATTGTTTAACATTAAGTAGATTTCGCTCTTTATTTAACGATATAAAAAATATTGTAAAGCGATGTTATAATACACTTATGTTAGGTGTGAGTATTATTTACAAAGGGAAATACTTTTCTTCTGGCAGCCATTATTCACGATGGAAAATTGTTTTACTTAAGAGTTACAATTTCAAATGTCACAGACAATATTTATAAACTGCGCGTGACAATTATATTGATGTCTCACTGAAAAAAACGACGAATGAATATTATTTAAACATTATCGATAAGTAATTTAGAAGATAATAATCTGTACTGATCATATCTGTAATTACAACATTGACAATGAAAAGTATGCGGGGACAGAAGGAACCTAAATGAAATTCTTTCATTTCTATTCTTTCACCTAAATGAAAAATGAAGAGAAATGTTACTTTCTTTTAGTATTCGAAGTTTTGCTATCGCAACGCGAGTAACGTGCGATATCGATAATAATTTATCTGTTTCTTATAAATTTGTTCTCTTGCTTCTTTACGGAAGGTTAAATCAATACTAAATTCACGACTTTGTTTCATGGAAGTCCGGTAAGGTAAAGTTATAAATTCCTGAAGTTTGAAATGAAATAACAATGTTTTTTTCTGGAAAAAAATTAATTCTTTCCGAAGGAACTGCTTGTTACGTCCCCGTAAAGAAGTTAAAATTGTTCAAGACTTCAAACTGATTCGAATAAACACCATTCGTCTCATTTAAATCGAAGTCAAACACTTGTTTTGTCACGATCATTCAACCTTCAGGTAAAGATTTACAATGCATACCGAACTCTTCTTTCTTCCAGCAAATAAATATCAATGCAACCATTCTTACCAGCACAGTTCCATAAGATAAATTAATGAATACATTATTTAATACTTCGCCTATCGAAACAAAATTCCCATTGTCGCGAATCACACCACAAAAATCTGGATTAAACTATACTTTCAATGACGCAAAGTTATTAACTTTTTTCATACAATTTGGTGGATTCTTTTACTTTAAACATAATTTCGTACTTTAATTCCTTTTGAACTATATAATTTTTTTCGATCTCTACCGATTGATTTCACATTTCACTAAGAAGACGAAGCTTCTCGGACAACCTTCATATTCGGTGAACGAATCTTTTCAACCTATGGATTTCTAAAATTAAAAATATTTTCACTGTATTTAAACTGGCAAAATCTACCGAATGGTAGAACAAAAGCCTGTAAAAAGAGTTGACAATTTTCTGCCCATGAAAGTACAGTTTAGCCACAATCCGGATTCACCGAAACATCCGCACTCCAACTATGGCGGAATCTCAACAATTTCGTCGACAATCACGGAGTCTGTCGCGAGGATTCAATTCCGTTGAAGCAATCCATCTCCGAAGAAAGGAGACGCGTCGTTCGCCGCAGCGAAAGGTCGCACGCAAACGACACCGTGTCGTACGGAAAGTTGACCCATTTGCATTGTAGGATAAAACGAAAAATATATCGCATATCAGTAAATTCCTTTCGTTACATCTAAATACAACAACGTTTAAATAAATCATTTATAAAGTGTACAAATAAAGGCAAAGATTCATATGCACATAAAGTTAAGAGACCATTTGATGGCTAAGCTTGAGGAATATGTGTATGTATATTAAATATAATATTCACCACTGGTGATAATTACCAGAAAAATTCCGCGAATATGTACGTTAATAATGCAAATGGGATAACATCACAAGAACGCTGCTTTTTTCCGTAAATGGCTTCGTAAACCTCATAGTGGCTCTCCGCATGTTTCACGTCTAACTAGAGGTAAAGAAGGTTCGACCGTCTGGTCCTCGGTGTCCCGTAAAACTTAGGGTGTGTTTATAGTATCCGTTCGAACATGCAACATGTTACTTCAGACAAAGATTCTTAGAAGTAGTAAGATGAGCTTATGGTTTCACACGCTGCGTACTAAGCACATACAATAAATAATACATCGCGTTATTAACGTGTTCCGTTTTCTCCGCGTGGCACGCGACAGTCGACGTTTCGAAAGCATGTAACAGAATAGTTCACTTCATTAAGCGCTTATGTACTATTAGGAGATCCACTTAATGGCTAAGCTGAAGAATTCGGCTGATTGATCAGCGTTCATTTTTTCTCGCCCAATTTTCTGTTGATTTTATTTCCTAATTTCTAATATTTTTTATCATTACTTTGCTGTTTATCAATGCAATTACACCTAACCAATCAGAACTATAGAACTGTAAACTAGGAAGCTCTTGCCTCTGCGCCATTCCGCTAGCCATCAAGTCATCTCCCAACTGTAGTCAATTGCACTGAAATAAATAGTTTGTATTTTAGCGGGAAAAACGCGGCGTGTTACACGTCGCGTGTAAAATGCTCGTGCGATTCAGGTCTTGAGGTTTAGGTCCAATAAATTTTTCTCGACGAGCGCTGGAAAGCGACGCTGTTGCTCTTTATCTGTACCGAAACGTTCCGCGCTTGAAGGTTCTAACAGTGTGTGGCCAGGATGGGGAAATTGAGGGGAACACAGTTTACCCTCTCCCTGGCGTTACCATCAGGTTCTGCGATGGTTGCGGAGGTTGTTGGAGGATGCCTTCTGACGAGAAATGGCTGGTGAAAGGGGTAAAACGGAGTGGGGAAAAGACAACCATTTGGTTGCTTTCTGGCTTCACTGGGTTCCAACAGAGTCTTTGTCTAAACTGGAGCGTTACACGTTCGAATGGATGGTGTACTGTCCGCAGACGACGTCTTCACACTGAAGGAGCAAATGCGGCAAGGGGACACAGTCACTTGCAATGAACGTTGACGTTTTGGTTTCGACTATTTTTGTTATTAGTTGATTCACGTAAACAAAGATCGCAAATGAAACTGAATACGACGAAGTGAGATACAACAATAGGAAATGAATATGGGTGTCAATTACTTAGTAGATATACGCCTCACGTTAGCTCCATCGGCCAGCAAGCTAAAAGTGAATAAGGGCAAGGGGACTCTTTCATTCACGATGTTAGGGCCACGCTGATCTTCGACGCATGACGACATTTGAGACCGAACGTGATGGAGTAAAGTGGAACTATAGAGAATTTTGTTATTGCCGGGCGCCAATAATTACCGAGCATCGTGAGTGGAAGAGTCCCCTTGCTCCTGTACACTTTTAGCTTAGAGGTTGATGAAGCTAACGTGCAAGGTGTATAATACACTTGACCCTCGATTTACGCGTACTTTTTTCACGTGATCTGAATTTAGTAACAGCGAATAAAATATACTTTTGTTTTCGAAAATGTCATTATTATTTCTTTTGTTAAGCTATGTGAAATAAATATGTATTTCTAAAACTTATACCAGCTTTTCCCCTCAATATTTTGTTTTCTCTTGTACCGACAGGCTCTATTTACGCGATTTTCGTTCGCGTAAAACGAACCCATACGGAACGGATTTTCGCGTAAATCGAGGGCCAGGTGAATTTGTATCTTACTCGTATTGTTTCATTTGCGATCTTCATTCACGCGAATCAGTGAATAACAAAAACGGTCAACGTTTATTACGAATGACCGTGTTCCCTTCTGTTCGTAGGACATATAAACAGACTGTTGACAGTAAACACGGCCTTACCCTAGAATTCCGTCGTGTTCGAAGTGTCGGTTGAATTGGTGCACGTCGCGACTGGCCCGTGTCGACTGCGACTCGCGCCGCGAGTGGGGAGGGATCAAACAGTTTCTAACGTAATTGTCATCACAGAGATGGGCACACCTACGTCGACAGACCGGCCAGGATCGCTGTGACCGCGGTGATCCCGAGGTTTGCGAACAAATGCCGGTGGAACAGCGACGAGGCGGTCGCCGATTGGAAGTCAATCTGCTCGTCATCGCCGTCGAGGTTTTTCAGCATCGGCTCGTCCTTCATGCCGGCTGTCTTCCTCTCGTGGCTGTGATCGATCTTCCACGCTTTCTTCGAGTCCCGCCGCGTGCTCGGCCTCCGGGTCGTCGCCGGCCGATCGTTCTCTGGAAAATGGCGGTTTCGTGTATCAAACGAACTGCAACGGGATTTCATTGGGTCGCAGAGAATTGGGATGTAGAACAATGTGGAAGTAAAAGTGTACGGAGGTACGTGGTACTATAGGGAACTGGGTGAAGTTCCGTAAAATTATGTAAAAGCATATGAAAGTAGAGAAAGCTGTATAAAACTATATGGAACTACGTAAAGTTTTGTGAAATTGTGTAAGAGCATATGAACGTAGATAAAGCTGTATAAAGCTATATGGAACTATGTAAAGTTTTGTGAAATTATGTAAAAGCATATGAAAGTCGATAAAGTTGTATAAAACTATATGGAGCTATGTAAAATGTTGTAAAATTATGTAAAAGTATATAAAAGTGTAAAGGTATGAAACTTTATGGAACTGTTCAAATTCATGATTTGACGATAACGGTTTGGGAAAATTGAGACTGAAAGAAATATTCTTTCCTTTCTGTTAAACGTGGTTTAAACTTCTTGAAGATTTTTCGACTTTTTTAATACATAACGTTCCATATTTTAGTTATAAATAGTAATGAAATTCTATATTAAAGAATGTAAATTAAAGCTTAGCATAATAAATATTTGCCATGTAAAGGACAACAATTATGCTTGGAACGTTGCTTTCTAATCTAGACAATATATCAATGATCGTTAACTCCTCGCCACACGATATTTTTTAGACGGTATTTTATACAAGACTTCGTGAATTTCAATGGAAAGCTTTAACAAGATGTTAGCACAGAAAACCGGAATGTAGATCGATGAGGTTATGGTTTATCAATTTCCCATTAATCCACCATTATATACGCCGCGCTGTAACTTCATCAATGTTAGTTTAGCGCGCCATTACTTTGCTACCATTAGTCCTGCTGAAAGATGGAGCTTCATCGAGGTCAAGGACTGTAAGGGAAATACGAAGATTCTTGGAAAATAAAATACAGTCTACGAAAGTTTCACTGTACCAATAAGAATAGAGTAACCAAAAAGGGGAAACAGTCTTGTCACTTGGTGCAGTTTCCAGTTTGTCAATTAAATATGACTCGAATTAACTCAAGTTCTTAGTAACTGAAGGTACCGAACGAACTCATGCAAATACAAATTTGCAGATATAAATTCACGAGAACTGACATAAAACACGATCTTACTTCCACCATGGGAAACAGCAAAAATACAAGAAGAGAACGCAAGCATTCAAGAGGAATTAATATTTCTACAGTTTAATAAGGAGACGAAGTTTCAAGATGCGCGCAGAATTCTTTATTCTCTTCGAGACTGGGCTCACCATTAAATCTTATTCGATCGTTTACACAGATTGCAGTTATTCAAAATACACTGGAACACGTTAATGAGGATACTTAATTATCTTTTCTTGTTTACGGGTACACAGAAAGACTGCCGAGAGGTGTTCACATTTTTCAACAGTTTATTTGTCCATTGAATTATTCCTTCCATATATAAACTATAAAAATATGCTGTTAAATAAACTGTTAACAGAAGCTTGAGCCCCAACGTGGCGGAATAGTTTTTGCAAAAACGATTATTTGTAGGTGAAAATTTGGTCGCTAAATATATTCATCCAAATCAATGGGATTTACACCGGTATCGGATGATGATGAATTTGAAGGGAAAGTATTCGTTAACGATTCGAATCGTGTGCAATATTCATTGGCAGCAGAGGTTACAGAAATTTTGATGGCAGCATTTTAATCCTGGCGATAGGTACATCGTGTAGCGGAAGACCAACACTGTAGATGATGATGTTATTCGAGGCAAATTGGAAGCAGATCAATATTTAACAACACGTGTAACGTCCCGTGCACCGCAATTCTCGAATGAATTTCGCGAGATCGTAAATCCCGTTTACGTTGCGGTCGCGACGATGCACTGAGACGTTTGGCTTATGAAATTAATGTTAAGTCTGGTTGACAAGGCAGGGCTTGGTTTAAATTGTAGCTGTTACACAGAGAATTAATCTCGTGTCACACTGTCGAGTTGAAGAAGTTCACTCGATTCCTGTTACAAAAGGGAACGACAGATGCTTTCGGTCGATATATTTTATTATCCATCTTGCTCCCGTGTGTTTTTCGAAAAGTTTGGACATAAATATGTTAGAACCATTATGGATTCGTATATCGTCTTTTTGATCGCCGTACGAAGTAATTTGAACGACAAAAACATGTCCTCTGTCGTTTTAATGGACCTCGGCAAGCTTAATTCAACTTCAAATTGAGTTCAATTTCATCAGAGAATATCAGTGAAACTGTTGCTTGTAGTCTACCCGAAACATTCATCGAGATTTTCGTTTTCCTTTATACTCTATACATTCGTTTGCAGTATAACTGGATAAAATCCAGTAACTACCGATCTCCGTGCCGAGGCTTTTACGCGTTCATATATACGTCCGGTTGAAAATCTGTATAATATGAAGTTTATAACGTAAAACACTTTATAATATAAAAATCATGTTCCGCGGAATAAAATATTTTTAATGCAATTTACAAAGTGTGAAAGCAGACTGTGTTTCCGTTTTTTTCACAAACTTATGCTTACTACTTAATACTAAATTGTTTCGAAATGTATCGTTCTATACAAAATTACTGTACATATCCGCGTAAAATAGATAAAAACAAGACTCTTCGCACAAGACTTTGCCAAATCACTGAATTTGTGTCCAGCGCAAGAGGTTAATAAATAAGTAAAATCTTTGGAGAAGACATTAAAGAAGAGGCGTAGAAACGTGGAAACCTCTCAATTAAACCCTCATCCCTGATCCTATCCGTCCAGTAGTATTACAAGCTACAACATGACCATCCGACGTCAGCTGATCACTTTCTAGTAGCCCGAGTGTCCAGCCACGTCCCGCGAATTTCCAATGAAATTTCGGCTGGGAATCAATAGGCCGGGCCCGGCACGCGGTTCGGTGGGACCGCACAGGGTAACCCTCCCCCCCCGATGTAACTGGCCGGCTCGCGCTGCGATGGTAACACATTATCGCTGATCTGTTCATTAATAAAGATGAACGCGCCGAATCTCATCACGCGATCAAGTCTAGGCGAGGATTTAACGGCCGTCAAATTGTATACCATGTGAAAGCCGCTTTGTGTCGGATCACGTGCAAACGGGCACCGGCGCGAAAATGGCGCGTCGAGATATCGCTGCAGCCCGATGCTACCCGAGTAATCACCGGAAAAATAATCGGCCAGCCGATTGGACTTCCCCGCGGCAGCGCCGGCGAAGGGGAAGGGCGGGCATGCGGGCGGTCGGGCGGCTTTGACGTATTGGAATGTCGTCCAGCTGGCGTCCCGCAAAACCCGAAGTGCTGTTGTCACTTGCACGCTTCGTCGAAAACGTCGAGTGCCCGCCGATGATATTCATTCCGGCGTTGCGCGAGGCCGTGCCACCCGGAGTGGCCTCGAAATACGCTCCTTTTAATTACTTTTTTAAAAAGACAAGATGACAACGGGCTTGTCTATAGCGCGCGGCCACGGCCGGTCTTCCGAGCGGTGCCACAGCCCGTGCACCGGCCGGCCGCGTTCGCAATAAACGCTCCTCGTTTTCGGTTATATATCGAACACTCTCTTTTTCGATGCATTTTCGGCTGCGGTCGGTCACCGAGCGGACCGCTTTCATTCACGTCAACGTGTTCATCGCTGTGGGAATTTTGAACGTTTTGTGGGGTGTTGTTTATTCTTTCGTCGAAATGGTAATTTGTTGATGTAACCGTTAGTCCTTTGAGAAAAGCGTTGTTTGTTCTTTCATTGGAATGGCGATTTATTTGTGTGACTGTTTGTTGTTTGAGGAATTCATTATTTTCACTTGACACCGGGTCTCTTCTTGCAATTGGTTTACAACGATTTGGAAGTGTTGTTCAATTGGCGGGATAACGTAACCGTATTCCGTAAGAATGAAAAAGGTAAAATAATGAAATAGATGTTCAGAATATTTGTATCGGCAAAGTCTGGGATCGCTGGTGCTACTAGGGTTTAAGTATCGAATTTTATAAACATTATTTAATAAATAATGGTAAAATGGCAGTATTGGTTTCCGTCGATTTTGCTCGATACAATTACACAAATAAAGGTATCTTAATTATTCATTTTCCTGGGAACAATAGAATGACCTGTACGATAAAGGCTCGTAATCCTAGTGTTAAAAATAATAACTTTTATGCACGACGATCACCAGAGAAATGACCCATTACTGCATTTTCCGTTTCTAACGAGTGCAACCGGTTATTGCCCTCTTCGGCTGGAAGCTCGTGAAGAGCTGGTGTCGTCATTTTATCAGAATGGATTGATAGTTTATTCACAGATATTGCTCCTAGACTTGAAGGGTCGATCATTGATAAACGTACAATTTTTGCCATACCTTTTCATCCCTTGTGTATACTCAATGAATCTTTTATGAAGCAACCGATTTAGAAACTGAACATACAGATGAACGCTTAAAAGCTCAGATACTCGATTTATCCAATAAATAATATTGTTTTGTGGTGTCTTATTTAAAACTCGACCTATTTGGCTACATAGTAACCTACTTTCCTTGGAGCAAGGATAAGAAAGATTTCTCAACCAATTGAAGTTTAATGCACCTCGATTATATTTAACCATTCTGATGTAAAAATATGTTACAGTTCGTAACAGTATCGTAATATCATATTTTTAATTACCTTCGGTCATAGCTTAATGTCGTTCTATTATAATTTCGGATTCCACTAGTAATTACTTCAGTCGTAGTTCCCGATTAACTTTTAAACGCACGGTTGATCTTATATTCTGTATTTGATACCCGAGCCAACATCAAATCGGTCTAAGTAAATATTAAATCACTATGCGGTTTGGCAATCAAACTTGTCCCTTTGTTTATGTAGGTTTGCACTGTTGAATTCCATTTCGATACTGTAATTACATTTGTTTCTCCGCACTCTATGCTGCCACGATTATTCGTAACTTGGATTCGCGCATACCGCACACTATGTTTCTAT